CTCCAAATGGTTGCAATGACCAGGTCTGGGTCAGGCTAAAGCCAGGTACTAGAGACTTGGATCAAAAGTAGAGCAGCCAGGACTTGAATTGGCGCCCATATGGATGCCAGCATCGAAGGCAACAGCTTAACCCACTACACCACAATGTGTGCCAATAAAAAAATCTTTACCTGGGGCTGGTGCTGTGGTGTTGTTGATTAAGTACCTTGCTGCAGTGCCAGCATCCCATATAGGCACTGGTTTGGGTCCCAGCTCTCTGCTTTGGCCTGGGAAAGCAGTGGAAGATGATCCAAATTCTTGGACCCCTGCACTCACATGGGACACCTGGAAGAAGCTCCTGGCTCCTGGCTCCAGACTGGCCCAGCTCCAGCCGTTGTGGCCATTTGGGGAATGAACTAGTGTAGTGAATGGAAGACTTCTCTCTCTCTTTGCCTTTGCCTTTCTGTAACTGATTTTCAAATAAAGAAAGAAATTTTTTAAAAAAATCTTTACCCCCCCCCCCAAATGATTGTTCTGGCCATTACAGACATTTGGGGAGTGAACCAGCAGACAGAAGATCTCTCTCTCTCTCCCTTTCTGTCTGACTTTTTCAAATAAACATTAAAAAAATATATTCAACAATATTTTTTAAGATTTCTTTATTTATCTGATAAAGCTACAGAGAAGCAGAGGCAGAGAGAAAGGTCTTCCATCTGCTGATTCACTTCCCAAATGGCAACAATGGCCAGAGCTGCAACGATCCAAAGCCAGGAGTCAGGAGCTTCCTCCATATCCCCTATGCGGGTACAGAGGCCCAAGGACTCGGGCCATCTTCCAGTGCTTTCCCAGGCCACAGTAGAGAGCTGGATTGGAAGTGGAAAAGCCGGGACTTGAACTGGCACCTACACAGGATGCCGGCACTGCAAGCAGCAGGCTCTACCCACTATACCACAGCACTAGCCCCTCAACATCATTATACTTGATCTTACCCAAAAGGCTGAGAAGCGATCAACATCAGTAGTTATTAGGGAAATGCAAATCAAAATCACAAAAAGAAACCACTTCATACCTACTAGAATGGAATAACAAAACAAAAAACAGGGACTCAAGCCGATACATACTTACAGCCAATATTCAAGTGTGGTAACAACCCAACATCCATCAACAGATGAACAGATAAATGAAATGTAGTATATCCATTTCATGGAGTATTAGACAGAAGAATGAAGGTCTGACATACACAGATGAACTCTGAAGACAGTATACCAAATACAATAAGCAAGACATAAAGCGGGGGAGGGCGGTGCTGTGGTATAGCAGATAAAGCCACCGCCTGCAGTACCATCATCCCATACGGGCGCTGGTTTGAGTCCTGGCTGCTCTTCTTCTGATCCCTCTCTCTGCTATGGCCTGGGAAAGCAGTGGAAGATGGCCCAAGTCCTTGGGCCCCTGCGCCTGCGTGGGAGACCTAGAAGAAGCTCCTGGCTTCAGTTTGGCCCAGCTCCAGCCGTGGTGGCCATTTAGCGAATGAACTGAACCAGCATATGGAAAGACTTACTCTCTGCCTCTGTGTAACTCTGCCTTTCAAATAAATAAATAAATAAATAAGCAAACTTATCTTTAAAAAAAGACATAAAAGGACAAATTATAGAACTTCATATAATAAAGCACTCAGAAGAGTCAAACTCATTTAAAAACAGAAATTAAAATTTGAGATTACTTGGCACTAGAAAGAAGAGAAATGGGCATTACCACTTAATGGTACAGAATTTATACGGTTTGATAAAGTTTGAAAATAACTAGTGGGAATGGCCACATAGCACTTGTAAATTTTACAAATATTCCTGTATCATACATGTACATTTAAAAATGGCTGAGGGGTGGTCACTGTGGTATGGGAGATTAAGCCACTGCTTGGGACACCCACAGTCCATACTGGAGTGCTAGTTTTAATTCCAGCTGCCTCTTCTGCACTTCTGATTCAGCTTCATGCTAATGTATCCTAAGAGGCAATAGATGATGGCTCAAATGCTTTGGTCTCTGCCACTCACATGGAAGAGCCAGATGTAGTTCTGAGTTCCTAGCCCAGTCCCAGCTGTTGTAGCCATTTAGGGAATGAACCATTGGGTAGAAGATACTTCTCTCTCTCTACCTCTCAAGTAGATGAAAATAAACATTTTTAAAAATGGTTGAAGTAGTCAATTTCACTACAACAAAAAAAATTTTTTTTGACAGGCAGAGTGGACAGTAAGGGACAGAGAAAGGTCTTCCTTTTCCATTGGTTCACCCCACAATGGCTGCTGCGGCTGGTGCGCTGCAGCTGGTGCACCGTGCTGATCCGAAGCCAGGAGCCAGGTGCTTCTCCTGGTCTCCCATGCGGGTGCAGGGCCCAAGGACCTGGGCCATCCTCCACTGCACTCCCGGGCCACAGCAGAGAGCTGGCCTGGAAGAGGAGTAACCAGGACAGAATCCGGTGCCCCAACCGGGACTAGAACCCGGTGTGCTGGCACCGCAGGTGGAGGATTAGCCTATTGAGCCGTGGCACTGGCCAAAAAAATTTTTTTAAAGATTTATTTATTTATTTGAAAGTCAGAATTACAAAGAGAGAGGAGAAGCAGAGAGAGAAGTCTTCTATCCAATGGTTCACTTCTATCCAATGGTTGGCTGCAACGGCTGGAGCTGTGCCGATCCAAAGCCAGAAGCCAGGAACTTCTTTCGGGTCTCCCATGCAGGTGCATGGGCCCAACGACTTGGGCCATCTTCCACTGCTTTCCCAGGCCACAGCAGAGAGCTGGATTGGAAGTGGAGCAGCCGGGTCTCAAACTGGCGCCATATGGGATGCCGGCACTTTAGGCCAGGGTGTTAACCTGCTGTGCCACAGCGCCGGCCCTTAAAAAAAATTTTAACTGCAGTGCACCTCTTTCAATTAAATCTGATTCAGAGTGGGCCTTTGTCACTTGTGAAGATGCCAGATGGGATGCCTAGGTTCAAATCCAGGTACTACCTCTGATCCATCTTTCCTTAATAATGTGCACCCTGGGAAGCAGTAGGCAATGGTCAAGTATTTGGGTCCCTGCCATTCACATGTGACACTAACAGTGAATTCCCAGCCGTGGCCTTGCCCAGCCCTGGTTGTTGTGGTTATTTGGGGTGTGAACCAGCAGACTGGAGATTTGTCTCTCTGCCTTTCAGATAAATAAAAATATATTTTTTAAATTAAAAAAAATTTGTCATAGAATCCCAATGTGGGGGTGGGCACTATGATGCAGTGGTTTAAGCCACTACTTTGGGACACTCTCACCCCATATCAGAGGGCATGGGATCAGTACTACCTCTGCTTCTGATCCAGCTTCCTGCTCATGTGCATAATGGGAGGCAGGAGCAGATGATGGCTCAAGTTGTTGGGTCCCTGCCACCCATGAAGGAGACCAGATGCGACACCTGGCTTCTGGATTTAGCCTGGCCCAGCCCTGGCTATTGTGCGAATTTGGGGAGTGAACCACTAGATGGAAGATCTCTGTCTCCACTGTCTTTCAAATAAATAAAAACAGAGACATTTACAAATTATAAAACGAAAGAATCTCAATGTGTAAAACCAGATAAAAGTGATGCTGACAGTGTTGAAGCATGGGGAGAAGGGCCTGAAGCCTCACCAACTTGGTTCTCCCTTGATCAGTATTTCCAGTCCTCTCAACCTGTAATCTGAAACAGTGAATAAAAGTATTGCAAAACGGATGAAAAGTAAGTTTTTTAGATACACTGAAAGGGAAAACTAATACTGCCTTTTTCTGGAGGTGTAAGGGTGACTGTGACAACAGAGTTTGAAAAGTAATCTCTGGCTGGTGCCACGGCTCACTAGGCTAATCCTCCACCTTGCGGCGCCGGCACACCAGGTTCTAGTCTCAGTTGGGGCGCCGGATTCTGTCCCGGTTGCCCCTCTTCCAGGCCAGCTCTCTGCTGTGGCCAGGGAGTGCAGTGGAGGATGGCCCAAGTGCTTGGGCCCTGCACCCCATGAGAGACCGAGAGAAGCACCTGGCTCCTGGCTCCTGCCATCGGATCAGCGCGGTGCGCCGGCCACAGCGCGCCGGCCGCGGCGGCCATTGGAGGGTGAACCAACGGCAAAGGAAGACCTTTCTCTCTGTCTTTCTCTGTCACTGTCCACTCTGTCAAAAAAAAAAAAAAAAAAAAAAAAAAGTAATCTCTGAAAGATAACATTTGGCCTGGTTCTTCAAGCAGGCGTTGACTTTGGGAATGGAAATGGATCAAGAAAGCACATAGTGAAGGAGTGAAGGAGGAAAAGTAGTCTACAAGGGCATCAGGTTGAAAGAAAAGTAAAACTTGAAGTTAAAGAGAACAGGCTGAATCCATCTCTGAGGAAATCAAGAGGATTTGTTGTTTAAATAGGGGGGGGGGGATAAGTGGATTAAGCTCCTGTTTGGAATGCCCACATTCCAAATCAGAGTGCCAGTTTATGTCCTAGGTACTCTGTTTCTGATTCAGCTTCCTGCTAATGTATTCTGGGAAGCAACAGACAATGGCTTATGTGCTTGGTTCCCTGTTATCTATGTGGGAGACCCATATGGACCTTCAGTCCAGCCCAGCTCTGGCTGTTGTGGGCATTTGGGGAGTGAACCAGCAGATGGAACTTCTCTCTCTGCATTTCAAAAAAGAGGCCCAGCTTAAGGAAGAAATAAATAAATGCCAAGGGATTCAAGTGACCATCCTTTAGGTCCTGATTATCCTTGTGCCTGGAGACTAACAGGCGGAGCACAGATTCCTGAACATAACATTGTGAACGCCTCTACCCTGTTACCTGACGCATGATTTTTCATGAATAACATTGTGAACGCCTCTACCCTGGTACCTGACACGTGGTTTTTCATGAGTCTGAACCTGGAGTCTCCCAGAGGCTTTCCCAACCTTCGAGCAGAGTTGACAGCAAAGTTGGAATGAAAACCAGGCTGTGATTTAGTCACCATGGTGACAAGAAACTATCACAAATACTTGCTTATGACCTCACTGGAAAAGCAGGCAAGGGAGGGAGTGTGAAAGGAACATCTGCAGAAAAGCACATGTGGAATCGACCAAAAGAAGACTGGGTTATCTTTCATGGATCCAGCAGTACAGGGACTTTTTCCATGGTACAATCCCTTACTTGCTGGGGTTGGATCTAGAAAATCCACATCAAAAATCTTTTCTGTCTTAGATAGCTTTGGGTTTTCTTAGTCAAGGAACTCAATCAAAGGTCACTGAAGTTATACCTCTTATTTCTAGGGAATATATGGAATACATATCTAATGCTGCCAAGCATTTTCTAAGCTTTTAGAACCATGGGAGTAGCAACAAGAAGACAAAATAGGTATGGACCCTGAAATGGCTGAGCTACTGTAGTCTTGCTAAATTCATACGATGAAGCCCTAACCCCCAGTACCTCAGAAGGTAATTATTCTTTTCATTAAAGCCCTTAAAGAGGCAAATAAGGTTACAGAGGTCATTGCTAATCCAGTACCTACTATCTTTATGAAGGAAAACACCAAGTAAATATGCAGACAGCTACCCAGAGGCTAAGGAGAGAGGTCTTAGAAGAAACCAACCCTGCTGACACCTTAACCTTAGACTTCCAGCCCCAGAACTGTGAGAAAATAAAGCACCCAGTCTGTGGTGTTTTGTTATGGTAGCCCTAGCAAACTAAACAAAACAAAACAAAACAGAGAACAGGTAACACATGAGTCCCAAATTGCTATAGTGCTCCATTTAATTACCGGTATGTCTTAAAAATGTGAAATTCTTAAGATTTTTTTTTTTTTTTTTTGACAGGCAGAGTGGACAGTGAGAGAGAGAGACAGAGAGAAAGGTCTTCCTTTGCCGTTGGTTCACCCTCCAATGGCTGCCGCGGCCAGCACGCTGCGGCCGGCGCACCGCGCTGATCCGATGGCAGGAGCCAGGAGCCAGGAGCCAGGTGCTTTTCCTGGTCTTCCATGGGGTGCAGGGCCCAAGGACTTGGGCCATCCTCCACTGCACTCCCTGGCCACAGCAGAGAGCTGGCCTGGAAGAGGGGCAACCGGGACAGAATCCGGCGCCCTGACCGGGACTAGAACCCGGTGTGCCGGCGCTGCTAGGCGGAGGATTAGCCTAGTGAGCCGCGGCGCCGGCCAATTCTTAAGATTTTTAACATGCATTTTCTCAGAAAAACATTTCACAAATAACCCAGCTACTGTGAGTATCGGTTAAGAATGATGTCATTACACCTTCAAGCTCACAAATATGAGTATACTTCCAAAAACTAATGAGAAAATGGAGGGCTGGTGTTGTGGTACAGCAGGTTAATCTGCTGTCTGCAATGCTGGCATCCCATATGGGTTCTTACTGCCCCACTTTCAATCCAGCTTCCTGTTAATGTACCTGAGAAAGCAAAAGAGGATGGCCCAAGTACTTACGCTCCTGCCTCCCTTGAGACATAGATAAGTTCCTGGCTCCAGCCTGGCCCAGTCCTAGCTGTTGCAGCCATTTAGGGAATGAACCAACGGATGGAAGATCTATCCCATCTCTCCCGCTCTCTCTGTAACCTTGTTTTTCAAATAAATAAATAAATCTTAAAAAAAGAAAATGTTTATTTTGATACAGCTTTCTTATAATAATGAATTTTTTCATGAATTTTTTGAAGAGTCCTTGTATGTATAGATTGAAATAACACACTCTGTGTTTTTAAGGTGTTCTTTACAGCTACTGACTCTAGCACTTTTCTAACTGAAGACTTACTTTCATGGTCTATACTTTGAGTCTGGTGCTTTAGACCGCTCGACCATCCCGACACACCATGGTCTATACTTTGAAAAGTATACCAAAATTACCAATCACTTAAAGGAGTCTACCTAGAAGAGCCCCAAAGAGCTCTATGTAAGACACTGGGGAACCTGCCTATACTTTCTTCATGAAGTCATCACTCTTTTCTAATTATGATCCAATCCATGTCTTGGTGAATGAGTACTCCTACTTAAAAAGAAAGGCTTTCTAATGAAATGTTATCATAGCTACCCTGGCACAAGGCTGAACTAAGACTTTAAATCAGGCAGACCAACTGTTGGATGCTATAGTTAGTAAACTTTACAACTCATCCCAATACATTAAAGATTACTCAGTGGCACCAGAAGGAGAGATAATGGAGATAAAAATAACCTGTTATGGGAGCCTGCATTGTAGCCTAATGGGCTAAGTTGCCGTGGGCAACGCCAGCATCCCATATGGGCACTGGTTCAAGTCCTGGATGTTCCATTTCTGATCCAGTTTCCCAGTAATGCTCCTGGGAAAGCAATGGAAGATTGCCCAAGTGTTTGGGCCTCTCCTCCCATGTGGGAGACCCAGAAGAAGCTCCTGGCTCCTGGCTTCTGCCTGGCTATTGTGGCCATTCGGGGAGTGAACCAGCAGATGCAAAATCTCTTTCTCTGACTCTTCCTTTCTCTGTGTAACTCTCTCAAATAAATAATCTTTTTTTTTTTAAAGGGACATAAAATGCACCCCCTCACACACTATATCTGATCTATAAACCATACATCTCCATTCATCTTAATTTTATTCTTTATTTTATTTGGGGCTGGCTCATGTCCCAGCTGTTCCACTTTATTTTTTTATTTTATTTATTTATTTATTTATTTTGACAGGCAGAGTGGAAAGAGAGAGAGAGAGAGAGACAGAGCGACAGGTCTTCCTTTGCCGCTGGTTCACCCTCCAATGGCCGCTGCAGCCAGTGCGCTGCGGCCGGCGCACCGCGCTGATCCGATGGCAGGAGCCAGGTACTTGTCATGCTCTCCCATGGGGTGCAGGGCCCAAGGACTTGGGCCATCCTCCACTGCACTCCCTGGCCACAGCAGAGAGCTGGCCTGGAAGAGGGGCAACCGGGACAGAATCCGGCGCCCTGACTGGGACTAGAACCCAGTGTGCCGGCGCTGCAAGGTGGAGGATTAGCCTAGTGAGCCACGGCGCCGGCCTCCACTTTCAATCCAGCTCCCTGCTAATGGGAAAAGCAGCAGAAGATCATCCCACTACCCACATGGGAGACCTAGACGAAGCTCCTGGCTTTGGCATGGCCCAGCCCCAGATGTTGTGGCCATCTGGGAAGTGCATCAGCAGATGGAAGATCTCTCTCTCTCCCTCCCTCTGGAACTCTGACTTTCAAATACATAAAACAAATAAAAAATTTTATTTTATTTATTTGAAAGGCAGGGTGATAGAAAGCAAGACACAGACAGTAAGAAATCTTTCTCCCACATGGCTGCAACACCTGGGACAGCTCCAGCCCAAAGCCAGGAACTCCTCAGGGTCTTCCAGATGAGTGGCAGGGGTCCAAGTACTCTGAGCCATCTTCTACTGCTTTCCCAGGTGCACCAGCAAGGAGCTGGATCAGCAGCTGGGTAGCCAAGATTTTATCTAGCACTCTGATATGGGATGCTGGAGTCGCAAGCTGCAGTTTAACCTGCTGTGCCACAACACAGGGCTCTTCATCTTTTTTTTGGTGATGTATTTCCTGAATACTACCTATCTTATGGGGAGAATATAAAGCACAACAAAATGACCAACTTTAAAAAACAGAAATTACCAATACTGTCAAATCCCTACACTGAATCTCTGTGACGCTCATTCTCCTAGCCAAACCTGATTTCCATTCTTTTCATTCCAATGAAAATTCCTTTTAGCAACACCACCAAAAATATCCATATTGTCAACTCTAACAAATAAAAATGTCTGTCATATTCTTAACTCTTAAAAAAGTTGCTAATCCTGGCCGGCATTGCAGCTCACTTGGCTAATCCTCCACCAGCGGTGCCGGCACACCGGGTTCTAGTCCCGGTTGGGGTGCCGGATTCTGTCCCAGTTGCTCCTCTTCCAGGCCAGCTCTCTGCTGTGGCCAGGGAAGGCAGTGGAGGACGGCCCAAGTGCTTGGGCCCTGCACCCGCATGGGAGACCAGGAGAAGCACCTGGCTACTGGCTTCAGATCAGCGCGGTGCGCCGGCCGCAGCAGCCATTGGGGGTGAACCAACGGAAAAGGAAGACCTTTCTCTCTGTCTCTCTCTCTCTCACTGTCCACTCTGCCTGTCCAAAAAAAAAAAAGTTGCTAATCCTTTCTCAGCTTTGTTGGCACCACTCTCAATTGCATTCACATTCCCAATCTCTCTTAAGTTTCAACCCACCACTCTCCTTTGAGCTCATCAGAGTCAACTAACTACCTACTTGACATGTTTAATTGGAGAGCCAAAGGGAACTTAATTTCTTTTTTTAAGGATTTATTTATTTGAGAGGCGGAGTTACAGAAGAGAGAGAGAGAGAGAGAGAGAGAGAGAGAGAGAGAGAGAGAGAGAGAGAGAGAGATCTTCCATCCCCAAATGGCTGCAATGGCCAGAGCTAGGCCAATCCAAAGCCAAGAGCCAGAAGCCTCTTCTGGATCTCCCATGTGGGTGCAGGGGCCCAAGCACTTGGGCCATCCTCCACTGCTTTCCCAGGCCATTAGCACAGAGCTGGATTGGAAGTGGATCAGCCAGAATTCGAACCAGTGCCCATATTGGATGCTGGAGCCAGAGGTAGAAGCTTAACCTACTACGCTACAGCACCGGCTCCCCAAACTTATTTTCTAATATCCTTCCCCCACCCTAAGCCACAGCAGTAGCATTTACCAGTTATTCAATCCAAAACCTAAGAGCTTCCAAGAGCAGATTGTAGAACAGTTTTTCACTAGAAACCCAGAAAACAAGGTTTCCTCCAGAACTGATATGAAAATTAAAATGCCTCAATATAAACAACTACAAGACATAGATGCCTCAGAAAAAGACAGTTTAGATTTTTAAAGCCAGTGACCCTGTTAGTATTCTTTATATTTCTTGAAACTCTTGAAATTCTAAACTTGATTCTGACAACATCAACCTTTCCCACTTCTCTTACCTTTTCAACCACTCTTAGGTTTCTTACTGTGGTCCTCTTCTAAAGTCAAACTCTAAAGGTCAGTTTGTATCCAAATTCTAACTTGGCTCCTCTTTAGAAGAAACCCCACCCTCCAAACCCTTAACACTCTAGGTGAACTGAGCTTCTGCCTCCACTTTCCATACCAAGTTCTCAGTCCCTATTGTCACAACCTCTTGCCTACTGGCTATCTTCACCTCACCTTCCCAGTAGACCAGTGTCTTGCCTCCTATCTAGCTTACTTTTTCAGAATCAATGCTATCACAATTCACCTGGTCTTAGAATCATCTACGAACTATGCCTCCTCAAAGATAAAGTATCAGGTAAATTGATTTTACCTGTTATCCCAAATGAGTTCCAACTGATCACCTCCAACACTTTTAGTTCACATCCACACTGCCTTTACTTTTAGGTCATTACATCTTTGAGATCAAGAACTCTTGTATTTATCTTTGAGTCTATAGTCCAGTGTACCACACATAGCCTTTTCATCTGTTCCATCCAAATTATTTTTTTTTTTTTAAGATTTATTTATTTGAAAGAGAGAGACACAGAGAGAGAAGGGAAGAGAGAGGTCTTCCATCCACTGGTTCTCTTCTCAAATGGCTGCAATGGCCAAGGCTGGGTTAGGCCAAAGCCAGGAGCAGAGCCAGGAGATTCTTTCAGGTCTTCCATGTGGGTGCAGGGGCCCAAATAGTTGGGTCTCCTCTGCTGCTTTCCAAGGAGCATTATTAGCAGGGAGCTGGAAGTAGAGCAATTGGGACTTGAACCAGCATCCATATGGATGCCAGCACTGCAGGCTGAGTCTTAACCTTCCATGCCACAGTGCCAGCCCCCACCCAACATTTTAACCCAGGGATGGGAAACTTTTCTGCTGAGAGCCAAAGGGATATTTATTTATTTGAAAGAGAGGGAAAACAGATCTTCTGTCTGCTGGTTCACTCACTCAAATTGCTACCAACATCCAGGGCTAGCCCAGGCTGAAGCCAGGAGCTCCATCTGGGTTTCCCATGTGAGTGACAGCGGCCCAAACACTTGGGCCATCTGCTGCTGCTTTTCTCAGGCCATTAGCAGGGAGCAGGATCAGAAATGGAGGAGGAGCCAGCACAGTGGACAGTGTGTAAAGCTGCCACCTGCAGTGCCAGCATCCCATATGGGCAATGGTTCGAGTCCCATATGCTCTACTTCCGACCCAGCTCCCTGCTGCTAATGCACTTGGAAAAGCATCAGAGGATGGCCCAAGTGTTTGGGTCCCTGCACTCATGTGGGAGACCTGGAAGAAGGTCCTGGCTTCGGATCAGCCCTGCTCCAGCCACTGTTGCCATTTAGGGAGTCAACAAGTGGATGAAAGATCTGTCTCTCTGTCTCTGCCTCTCTCTCTGTAACTCTTTCAAATAAAAAATAAATAAATTTTTAAAAAAGAAGTAGAGCAGCCAGGACACGAACCAGCACCTATATAGGACAAGGCATAGCAAGCAGTGGCTTTTTCTACCATGCCGCCATGCCAGCTCCTGAACAAGATATTTATAACATCATTCACAAGCCATACAAAATTATCAACTTAAAAATTAGCCGAGCCGGCGCTGCAGCTCAATAGGCTAATCCTCCACCTTGCGGTGCCGGCACACCAGGTTCTAGTCCCGGTCAGGGCGCCGGATTCTGTCCCGGTTGCCCCTCTTCCAGGCCAGCTCTCTGCTTTGGCCAGGGAGTGCAGTGGAAGATGGCCCAAGTGCTTGGGCCCTGCACCCCATGGGAGACCAGGAGAAGCACCTGGCTCCTGTCTTCGGATCAGCGCGGTGCGCTGGCCGCAGCGCACCAGCCGTGGCAGCCATTGGAGGGTGAACCAGCGGCAAAGGAAGACCTTTCTCTCTGTCTCTCTCTCTCACTGTCCACTCTGCCTGTCAAAAAAAAAAAAAAAAAAAAATTAGCCTGATGGGCCTGGCGCTGTGGCATAGTGAGTAAAGCCAGTGCCTGCAGTGCCAGTTCGGGTCCCAGCTGCTCTACTTTGATCCAGCTCTCTGCTATGGCCTGGGAAAGCAGCAGAGGATGGCTCAAGTGCTAGGGCCCTTGCACCTGGATGGGATACCTGGAAGAAGCTTCTGGTTTCTGGCTTCAGATCAGCTCAGCTCTGGCCATTGAGGCCATTTGGAGTAAACAAGCGGATGGAAGATCTCTTTCTCTCTCTCTGCCTCTCTGTAACTCTGCCTTTCAAATAAATAAATCTTTTAAAAAAAGAAAATACAGATTAATGCAACAAACAGAATCCAAAGAATAAATGAATTATTAAAATTGAGTGGAATCCTGGCATGTCAGTTTTAAGGCAGCCAAAGTAAAGCAATATGAACACTTACATAATTTTGGAAAGCAAAGTGTTTCTGAAACTTGGCTTCAGAAATGAACAAATACCTATGGCTCTAGGGTCTGTCTACTCTTAAGGTTTTGATTTTGGAACTAGAGAGGCTGGTAATAATAGACTATGATGTCTTCTGCTTATTCCATATAACTTGGCACTTTAGCAAACAATTTACAGGCTGAATCAGAATGAATTTAATTAGTCTGGTCTCTCTGACTCAAGATTCTATTTCTTTGACCTATACCCATGTTCAAACACCATCACTGATATGAAACATACAGTTGGGGCCGGTGCTGTGGCTCAATAGGCTAATCCTCCGCCTTGCGGCGCCGGCACACCAGGTTCTTGTCCCGGTCGGGGCACCGGATTCTGTCCCGGTTGCCCCTCTTCCAGGCCAGCTCTCTGCTGTGGCCAGGGAGTGTAGTGGAGGATGGCCCAAGTCCTTGGGCCCTGCACCCGCATGGGAGACCAGGAGAAGCACCTGGTTCTTGGCTTCAGATCAGCGCGATGCGCCGGCCGCAGTGGCCATTGGAGACCTTTCTCTCTGTCTCTCTCTCTCTCATTGTCCACTCTGCCTGTCGGGGGGGGGGGGGGGTTTCCATACAGTTGGACTTCTGATTTTCAGGTCTGCACCCAGGAATGTATCTGCAGTTTCAAGTAACCACAGATCAAAAATATTCAGGAAAAAACTGTCTTTACCAAAGAGTCTACTCTAAAAAAGTCTACATGACTTTTTTCCTTCTCATTAACATACAGATGACTCTGTAAATAATACAGTATAACAAGTATTTATATAGCATTTGAATTATATTATGACCTTCTTTGAGTGGACTTTCACTGTCCTATTGATAAAGAGGAAATTCTATTTTTTTCTTTGTGACAGCTTAAGATCCACTTCATCTACTATACAATTCATCCATTTAAAGTGTACAACTCAATGATTTTTAGTATAGTCTTCACCAAAGATCTTCACCAAACTAAAAACAAACTCTACTCTGTAGCTGTTAACCTCAATCCCACCATTTGGCAAGTAATCATTAATCTACTTTTCATCTGTATACATCTGCCTATTCTGGACATTTCATCTAAATGGAATCATATAATATAGAACCTTTTTTTTTAAAAAAAAAATATTTATTTATTTGAAAGAGTTAGAGAAGGGGAGAGAAACAGAGATGTTCTTCCTTCTGGTTGACTCTCCACATGGCAGCAATGGCCAGAGCTGGGCCAGGCCAAAGCTAGGAGCCAAGAGCTTCTTCTGGGTCTTGCACGTGGGTGGCAGGGGCCCAAGCACTTAGGCCATCTTCTGCTGCTTTTCCAGGCATGGACCAGCACCCATATGGAATGCTGGTGTTGCAAGCAGAGGCTTTACCTACTATGTCACAATGCTGGCCCCAATATCTGATCCTTTTCGATGGGTTTCTTATAATTAGCATAAATAATTTTAAGGTTTATCCATGTTGCAGTGTAGGTACTTCACTTTTTTTTTTAGTGTCAAATAATATTTTAGGATAGATGTCCCTAAAGTCTGGCAAAGAGTCTGAAATTTTTAATAGTAACATTATGTGACTGGACATAGAATACCTTCAAGGGTTTTCTATTAGAAAGAGCTATGTAGTGCTGAGCAAAGACAGCTGTGCTGGATGAATCACCAACAGGAACACTGGAAGCAGGGAGGTATTGGTGAAATAAGGTACAAAAATAGACAATCTGATTCCTAGTCTTGCTGCTTAATAATTCTGCAACTGAGATTATCATTTATATGTATCTCAATTTTCTTACCCTCACCCCTATCTACTTCAGAGTTATGGTAAGATCAAATCAGAATATACATGAGCTTTTTATATAAAAGAAGATTCTGTACATAGTAAAACGCTATGCTGGTAAAGTAGGATTAGGTTTGGAAATGGCTTTTCAAACTTCCAGAATGTCCCAGAATTTCACGATCAGGAAATACTACAAACAAGAAAACAGTATGAACCACATCTGACAGCATGAGGCTCTCAGGGTATTACCTGCAAGCCTGTAAGAACTGCCAATCACCAGACAACGGAAGAGACTCCTCAACAACTGGATCGGTTCAGAATGAGATTACAAGGCTGCTCATATTTTGGCAGCATCCTCACAGGACTGGGCTGAACAACAATCATTCTAGGAAACAAAACCAAATACATAAATTAGGTGGTTTTAGTTAAAAGCCACCCAGGGCAAACTATCTCCTACATGACTATATATTCAAATTTTAAGGTCTAAGGAATGAGCCAGGTAACTGATAGCTCTAGTGCTCTAATCCTAATTCTATTGTGAATATGTAAATACAATGTTCAGATCTATGGGAAGAAGGTAAGAGATAGAGTTATAGGAAACAACTAGGACAGCCATAATCCAAACAATTTCCACCAAAGAAATTTTCCAACTATTTCTTGTGGAAATTGCAGAATCTGGTTGTTCTTACATTGCTAGGGACATTCCACTGCCACTATCATAAGGTTCTATAAAGATGAAAATTAATTAAAGTAAGGGAAAAAAGAGCTCAACTTCCATTTAAGTTAACCCCAAAATATTTCCCGAATATCTTCTAAGCTCTTGCACTGTTCAAGAAATCAAGATATATATGTGTATATATACATATAAAATATAAACACACACACACACACTTTCACAGATGGTTATCTCCAAACTGACACAAATAGTATTCCAAGGCTGGCACTGTATAAAGATCTTCAAGAAGCTTTACAATTTAGCTTAGTCTCATAACACTAAGAACAAAAAAGTTAATTTAAGTGTGCAGAGTTCAGAAGGTAGTAGTGAGGACTATCTTTACTGAGTGTTAAACTCTGAAATGGTCTTTAAAAGCTAGATGGCTGGGGCCAGCGCTGTGGCGCAACGGGTTAACACCGTGGCCTGAAGCGCTGCAATCCCATATGGGCGCTGGTTCGAGAACCGGCTGCTCTGCTTCCAATCCAGCTCTACTGTGGCCTGGGATAGCAGTGGAGGGTGGCCCAAGTCCTTGGGCTATTGCACCTGTGTGGGAGACCCAGAGGAAGCTCCTTGCTCCTGACTTCAGATCAGTGCAGCTCCAGCCGTTACAGCTAGTTGGGGAGTGAACCACTGGAAAGACCACCTCTCTCTCTCTCTCTCTCTGCCTCTCCTCTCTCTGTGTAACTCTTTCAAATAAATAAATAAATCTTAAAAAAAAAAAAAAAAGGCTAGATGGCTAATATTTCTGAAAGTAGTGAAAGTGGGGAGGCTCAGCAGTTCTAGGAGAAAGCCCAAGGTCAATTTGGAAGAACAAAAACAGTTCGGTTAGAGAAGCATAAAAACAAAGGCCACCCAGCAAAATGCCTCTGAGAAGTGTGAAAACTGCTAGCACAGCTCCTAGTCATTGGACAGGGAAGGTTCTTTATTGTCTGTAGGCTGAATTACACAAACCCCTCTGATTAGCTCTTCATTTTAACTCTTGGTAATACAAAAAAGGGTCTTTCCAAAAGCCCTTCTGGGGGTCAGTGCTATGGTGTAGCGGGTAAAGCCACTGACTGTACTGCTGGCATCCCACATGGCCACCAATTCGAGTTCCAGCTGCTCCACTTCTGATCCAGCTCTCTGCTATGGCCTGGAAAAGCAGCAGAAGATGGCCAAGTCCTTGGGCCCCTGCACCCGCGTGGGAGACCCAGAAGCAGCTCCTAGCTCTTGGCTTCAGATCAGCCCAGCTCTGGCCATTGCAGCCATTTGGGGAGCGAACAAGTAGATGGAAGACCTCTCTCTCTCTCTCTGCCTCTCTATAACTCTGCCTTTCAAATAATAAATAAAAAATTTTTTAAAAAAAAAGCTCTTCTGACAAGTGAAAAAACATATATATTAATTGAAAAAGAGGGAACCAAAGAGGATTTTGTGCAGGGATTAGCCCACATTTTATTATCAGAGTACCTGGATTCAAGTCCCTGCTCCTTCTGATTCAGATTCTTGCTATTGTACACCCTGGGAGGCAGCAATGATGGCTCAAGTACTTGGGTCCTGCCACTTGTGTGTGAGATCCCAATTGAGTTCCAGTTTCCTGGCTTCAGCCTGGCCCAAATCTCATTATTGTAGGCATTTAGGGAGTGAACCAGAGGATAGACTATCTCTTTCTGCCTTTCAAATCAATAAAAATTGAAAACCAAAAAGAAGGAGCTTTGGGGACCCAGTGCTGTGGCACAGTGGGTAAGGCCAACGCCTATGACGCCAGAATCCCATGTGGGCACCAGCTTGAGTCCCAACTGCTCCACATCCGATCCAGCTCCCTGCTAATGCACCTGGGAAGGCAGCAGAAGAGGGCCCAAGTGCTTAGGCCCCTGCACCCACATGAGAGACCTGGAAGACACTCCTAGCTTTGTCCGGGTCCAGCATTTGGGGAATGAACCAGAGTTTGGGAGACCTCTCTCTGTCTCTGTCTCTCCCTCTCTCTGTAACTCTGCCTTTCAAATAAATAAATTCAAAAAAAGAAAAGTTTATAGAATATAAAGATAACTTCATGAAAGGGGGAAAAAAAAGAAGTCTGACTTGAGAGGCAAGGCTCACAGTGGGAGGAATTCTTTCCACCTTCAGAAGACATGCCTTTGACAGACATCCAATGTTGTCCCTCAAATTCTATCAATTTGTCCCAATACGATGCAATAGAAGGAGAACTGTTTTAGTGTCAGGTTGAGTTGGGTTCTAAACCCAACTGCATGACCATGGGCAAATTACCCACTATTGTTGATTCTTACTACTGCCTTCCTAAAATAAGGATGATAAATTTTATAGGGCCCTGTAGGATTTTTTTTTTTTTTACAGAATTATTTATTTTAATGGGCCAGTGCCGTGGCTCACTTGGTTAATCCTCTGCCTGCGGCACCGGCATCCCATATGGGCGCTGGTTCTAGTCCTGGTTGCTCCTCTTCCAGTCTAGCTCTCTGCTGTGGCCTGGGAGGGCAGTGGAGGATGGCCCAAATGCTTGGTTCCCTGCACCCGCATGGGAGACCAGGAAGAAGCACCTGGCTCCTGGCTTTGGATTGGTGCAGCGCCGGCCATAGCGGCCACTGGGGGAATGAACCAACGGAAGGAAGACCTTTCTCTCTGTCTCTCTCTCTCACTGTCTAACTCTACCTGTCAAATAAATTTTTTTTAAAAAAAGAAAAGAATTATTTATTTTATTTGAAAGTCAGAGTTACGTAGAGAAGGAGAGGCAGAGAGAGGTCTTCCCTCTGCTGGTTCACTCCCCAATTGGCCACGATGGCTGGAGCTGTGCTGATCTAAAGCCGGAAGCCACGAGCTTCTTCTGGGTCTCCCACATGGGTGCAGGGGCCTAAGGACTTGGGCCATCCTCTACTGCTCTCCCACGCCATAGCCGAGAGCTGGATCAGAAGTGGAGAAACCGGGACTCAAACTAGTGTCCATATGGGATGTCGGCACTGCAGGCGGCAGCTTTATCTGCTACGCCACAGCACTGGCCCCAGCCTGCAGGATTAACAAGATACTGTCAGCATGTCTAGGGCCTAAACGCTGAATCAGTGGTAGTTCCATTTCATTCTTCAGCTCCTACAGTGAATAGCATCTATTCCTCATGGGGCAATTTTCAGGAACTAAGGGTCAAAGAAGAGAACTATATTTTATTGCTCTCTATTAAATAATGGCTTTTCCTTTTCCTTTCTTTTAACACTTGTTTCTTTTAATCTTTATCCTTCTATTTTTTCTTTATTCTCTCAAAAACTAGACTAAGAACCAATGAGGGGCTGGTGTTGCAACACAACAGGATGAGTGTTCTATGCCGGTATCCCATAAGAGCGTCAGCTCTAATCTCAGCTGCTCCACTTCAGATGCAGCTCCCAACTAATAAGCCTGGAAAAGTAGGGAAGATGGCCCAAATGCATGGGCCTTTCGTCACCCACCAGGGAGACCTAGATGGAGTTCCTGGCCTGCCTCAGCCAAAGCAGCCATTTGGAGAGTGAACCAGTGGATGCAAGATCTCAGTTTCTCTGTCTTTCAAATAAATAAATTTTAAAAGGGGGGGACGGAGGAGGGGAGGAACTATTGCCTCCCATTTACTTCATTCCAAGGTGAGTAATTAGTCATGTCTTATTAGTTCACATCTAATACCTGAGAAGTTCCTTCCAATCATATCCCATAAGTACCTCCAATGTTTAAAAAGAAAAAAAAAATTATTTTCTCCTTAACTTTTACCATATCTATCTACCTACCTACCTACCTACCTATTTCTCTTAAGTCATGATCCGCTACCTTTATCTGCAATTCCAAAATCAAAAGAGCCGTGAAAATAGGAAGGTTTTAGGTAAATATGGCCTCAAAACATATTTAGCAGCAAAACCGGAACTAAACTGACAGGAGACTATTTATAGTCCTTATTCCGCAGATACTCAAATGTTTTGCTACATAAATATATTGTATTCAAAAAGGTGAAATTGGATCTACAAAGCTCAATCTTACCTAATCAAATCTTATTCCTTAATATTACATGAACAACATTGGCACTGACTTGCAAGAATTAATACTGTAAGGGGCCGGTGCTGTGGCTTGGTAGGCTAAGCCTCCACCTGCGGCACTGGCATCCCATATGGTTTCATGTCCTGGCTGCTCCTCTTCTAATCCAGCTCTCTGCTAATGGTCTGGGAAAACAGAAGATAGCCGAAGTCCTTGGGCCCCTGTCCCCATGTGGGAGACCCAGAAGTTCTTGGCTCTTGGCTTCGGTCTGGCCCAACCCTGGCTGTTACAGCCATTTGGAGAGTGAATCACTGGAGGGAAGATCTCTCTGTGTCACTCCTCTTCTCTCTAACTCTGTCTTTCACATATACAAATCTGTCTAAAAAAGTTCATGGTGCAGCACCATGGCGCAGCAGGTTAAGCTGCTGTCTACACTGCCAACATCCCATGGGGCAGCTGGAGTCCCAGCTGCTCCATTTCGGATCCAGCTCCCTGCTATGGCCTGGGAAAGCAGCAAAAGATGGCCCAAGTCCTTGGGCCCCTGCAACCACATGGGAGACACAGAGAAGGTCCTGGCTCCTGGCTTGGGACCAGTCCAGCTCTGGCCATTGAGGCCATTTGGGGAGTGAACCAGCAGATGGAGGATCTCTCTCTCTTTGCAACTCTGCCTTTCAAATAAATAAATCTTAAAAAGA